GACTCACTACTTCCCCCTGCTGTCCAGACCGGACGTCCCGCAGGATCTGCGCGGTCAGCGCGGACGCATCTTCGGTAACCTGGAGAAACTGTACGCCTTCCACTGCCAGCACTTCCAGCAGGAACTGGAGGCCTGTCAGGCAGAACCGCTGAGAGTCGGACGCTGTTTCCTCAATCACGTAAGACAGCACTGTGTTTTGATCGTAGTTTCATTTTAAACAGAATATCATTTTAACCTTGCACAAAAATCTATTTAAACAGAAAGAGAGTTTTGGACTTTACGCCCTTTACAGCAAGAACAAACCCCAGTCTGATGCGCTAATCCAACATCATAGATACTTCAAGGTGAGGAACATTTGGTTTATTATACACAAATATATATATATATATATATATATATATATATATACATTTAAACAATATAAAAATATTATACAGTATGTAATACTTTTATATAATGTTTTACAGAATTACTTATTTTACATGTGTATATTGTTAATTATCATTAATATAAATACATAAAATAACAATTTTTGAAAATATACATAAATATACAAATTCAACAATTATTTCTGCATCTCTTGCTATTTCTTCTGAGTTTAATTAACGTAAACGGGAATGAAATGAATCCTCTTTTGTTCCAGCGTAAGCAGATGGAGTTGGGTGACAGCATGGATCTCTCCTCATACCTGCTGAAGCCGGTCCAGAGGATCAGTAAATACAGTCTGCTGCTGCAGGAGATCCTGGATGAATGTGTGCCGGATCAGAGCGGAGAACGAGAGGAGATCCAGGCGGCTGTAGAGGTGGTGCGATTCCAGCTGCGGCACGGGAACGACCTGCTCACCATGGACGCCATCCGCGACTGCGATGTTAGTCGTGACGCTTCAAGTTGGATTTTGAATAATCTGTAAAAAAAAAAAAAAAAAAAAGCAATTCACTTTTTTTTTTCTTTGGAACAAGAATTTTGGTCTTTTTCTCACATCTGAAACTGGTTTTCCAATTTTTCTGTAGTATATACTGTAAGTTGTAATCATGCATTTTTTCTTGTTGTGTTGTTTCTTCAGCTAAACCTGAACGAGCAGGGCCAACTGATTCGGCAGGATGAATTCTGGGTAATTTTCCATAAGAAACGTTCCCTCCGGCGAGTGTTTCTCTTCCAAGATGTCATCCTCTTCACCAAGACCAAAAAAAACAACCGTGGAGATGATGTATATGTTTACAAAATGTCCATCAAGGTATGTGTGAGAATATTAATGTTTCTATTCATCATAGAATCATGAAAAATAAAATGTATCTACATAATATTTGGCAGCACAACTGTTTCCAACATTGATAATAATCAGAAATGTTTCTTGAGCAGCAAAATCAGCATATTAGAATGATTTCTGAAGATCATGTGACACTGAAGACTGAAGTAATGATGCTGAAAATACAGCTGCGCATCACAGAAATAAATTACAGTTTACAATATATTCAAATAGAAAAAAGTTATCTTAAATTGTAATAATATTTCATAATTTTATAGTCAAATAAATGCAGTCTTGGTGAGCAGAAGACTTTTTTCAAAAACATTTAAAAAGAAGGAAAGTAAGAGAAAATGTTAATAATAACTGACCCTAAATATATATTTTATTTTCATGTTTTCCCTGGGAATCAGACCCATTCATTCAGAGTCAAAATTGACAGAAAACCTTGCAAACAGCCAATACTCATTTTCTGTTTTCAAATACAGTTTAATTTGCACACTTTTTATTTCATTTAAAGTTTGCTTAACGTTTGTCTGTAGACCTGTGAGATTGGAATGACCCACTCGTGCGGCGTGAGCGGCCGCAGTTTCGAGATCTGGTTCAGGAGGAGACGGTCTCAGGACACTTACATCCTACAGGCAGAGACACGAGACGTCAAAGAGGCCTGGACCAGCGACCTGGAGCACATACTGTGGGAACAAGCGCTGAAGAGCAGAGGTCAGAGCATATCACAATACAACATATGGGAAAATAGTGCAAATTAGGCATTCACAGACAAAGTTTACATGTGACCTTGGACCACAAAGCCAGTCATAAGGGTCAATTTTTCGAAATTGAGAATTATACATCATCCGAAAGCTGAATAAATAAGTTTTCCATTGATGTATGGGATATGTTGTTAGGATAGGACAATATTTGGCCGAGATACAACTATTTGAAAATCTGGAATCTGAGGGTGCAGAAAAAAAAAAAAACATTGAGAAAATCACCTTTAAAGATGTCCAAATGAAGTTCTTAGCAATGCAAATTACTAATCAAAAATTAAGTTTTGATATATTTACAGTAGGAAATTTACAAAATATCTTCATGAAACATGATCTTTACTTAATAGCCTAATGATTTAATAATCCCAATAATTTTGACCCATACAATGTATTTTTGGCTATTGCTACAAATATACCCCAGCGACTTAAGACTGCTTTTGTGCTCCAGGGTCACAAATGGTTCGAGGTTACTGTACACGTTGTTTGTGCTTGTATGTGTTTGTAGATCTACTGGACTTGATTTTTGTGTTTCAGAGCTGAGGAGACAGGAGAGGTTGTTCATGGGAATGGGTTGGAAACCTTTTGCCGGCATTCAACCCAGAAACACGGCCGTTAGCAATCACGCCGTGAACGGTGATGTCACAGGAAGAGGTATTTACCGGCCAATCACAGGCTGACAATTTGCATGCATATAACTCTGATCTCATAATAATAAACTCAAGGGCGTAAGAACAGTTTGAAAAATATCCTGAAATGCCAGTTATTCTAGTGTATTTATTATGAAAATTTCACGGTTAGGATAAAAACACTATTGCAACAACTACGAATTAAAAATACAAAATTAATGCATACTTTTATCAAAGATGACTTCTATTCTGTTGTCTTTTTTCATCAGGTAGTTTATTTTCTGTCAGAGTCTTGGCACGCAAACTTTACCAGGTGTGGCTTGGGTCATGAATATTAATTACTCTGAGATGTTCACGCTAACTAATCTGCAACAAAATCGCTGAAAGGCAGATGTTGGTTAGCGAACGCTAGCAAGAATATGATTACTGCTTAACACTTGTGCATTTGTTCAACCCAATCCCAGGCTGACAGAAGCTTCTGCTTGATTTTAAAGAGATAACTCACCAAAAAATAAAAATTCTGTCATTTACTGACCCTCATGTCGTTACAAACCTGTATGACTTTCTTCTGTGGAACAAAAAATTAGATATTTTGAAGAATGTTGGTAACCAAACAGTTTTGGGTCCCATTGACTTACAGATGAAAAATACTACTGTATGTCTATGAAAACGGAAGCCTGTTTCTGCCACAGAAGCGAAAATAAAAAATGTAATTAGGACTTATCATCTCATAATTCTGACTTCTTTTCTCACAGTTCTGTGGGAAAATAGCAGAATTGCGAGATATAAACTCAGAATTGTGATATATACAATAGAAAAAGTGAGAATTGTGGAATATAAAGAAAAAAAGATAAAAATTCTCGGAATTCTGACTGACTTTCTCACAGTTCCAAGTTTCCATCTTGCAATTCCAAGAAAAATTGTGAGATATAAACTCAGAATTCTAAGATTTTGTCGGAAACAAGCTTTCATAAAAATCAGTCTTTCTCAAATGCAGACTAATGATCTTCTAAATGTGAGGACATACAGTATAATAGTTGCTACGCCCCTGAAAAAAAGCCTAATTTGTAGATACTTTAGTTTTATTTAATAAACTAAAGCCCTTTTCAGTCATTACCTGAATTTTCCATTACTTCTGACAGAAGTTGTAGGAATACTGAAAACAACCAATCCCTTGGTGTCCAGCCTTCAAAGGGGCGTGGCTTTGCCACGGCCAGATTCGATTGGCTCTGGCAGCAGCACATCAACCACGGGCAGCCACTCATCATCCTCGTCTGGGCGGGGCTCCATGTCACCCAGCGTTTTCCAAGGAAAATGTTACGGTAGCAAAAACTCCTCCTTACTAATATAGGAAAATTAATAGTGTCTGTATAATAAAGGAAAGGCCTGAATAATATCTCTAAATATCTCTCTCGCCGTCCTTTCTTTTTAGATTCCTTTACAGAGAACACAGGTTTATTTAGCTGTGCTGATCATAAATGCCCCACAAGAAGGAGAGCATCTGTGTCGTCACTGCTTCACTCCAGACCTTCAGTTTGTCGGACGTCTCCCACTCATGTTCTTCACTATGGCTCGCCAGCCCTATCCAGGAAGAAGCTCAGTCCACAAACAGATGCTCACGGCTCTCTCAAGGTTGAGAAATGAACGCACATCAGCTCTGCTGAAAACCCAGTGAGCTGCCTGTCTAGGCAACATTTTCAGGCAAAGTGATGCTGACTTATACCACACTAAAAAAGCTGAGTCCAATGTACTCTCTTAAAGGAACACTCCACTATTTTTGAAAATAGGCTCATTTTCCAACTCCCCTAGTAAACAGTTGAGTTTTACCGTTTTCGAATCCATTCAGCCGATCTCCGGGTCTGGCGGTAGCACTTTTAGCTGTAGCTTAGCATAGATCATTGAATCTGATTAGACCATTAGCATCTCTCTCAAAAATGACCAAAGAGTTTCTATATTTTTCCTATTTAAAACTTGACTCTTCTGTAGTTTTATCGTGTACTAAGACTGACGGAAAATGAAAAGTTGTGATTTTCTAGGCCGATATGGCTAGGAACTATACTCTTGGAAAATGACCTATTTTCAAAAATAGTGGAGTGTTCCTTTAAGGCACTACAGGGAAAAACACTGGTTTGTTTTGTTTGTTTTTTTCCATGCACTGGTCAATTTTGAGATTGTGGGCTATTTGTTTCAGACAAGTGGAAAGAAAAAGTCCAAAATACATTATTAAGTGTTTATTTTATGACACTTTATCTATTTGCATCTGTAGATTTCACGTGTCAGTGAGCATTGACATCTGATGCATATATAGATAGTTTCAATTCAGTAGCACAATTCAATTCAGTTTTATTTTAATTAAGATGCTGATCAAACAGTATACAGCAAAAACTAGGATTTGGAACAGAGCTGAAGAGTTTAATACTGATATTTCATCAGGAAAATAATTAGTTCAGATTGAATGTTAATTTGTTTCTTCTGTGTCTACCGCAGTGTCAGTTTGAAGAGCCAATTCGATCCAAGGCATCAACAGAAGTTTAGCTGTGATAGAGGTGAATTACAAACAGTGATTCACTGCATGCTTAAGAGAGACTATATTAATGCAGATCCAAATGATAAAGCTGTATATACAAGTATGTCCAACTTTATCATACAGTTCACTTGCGTAGGTGATATACTGTATACAAGCCACTATATAGCAAATTTCATCTGCTTGATTGCTTTTGCTAAATGAAAAAGCTAAATGCAACTATAAGGCATGAAGATATTAAGACATTCTAAACTGCAACATCACGATTTTCTGTAAAGCTGCTTTGCAACAATGTGTATTGTGAAAAGCACTATACAAATACATTTTACTTGACAAGTACCAGCTCCCTTAATGGGATCATTAAATGTGTGCAAACATTAAATATATGCAATTGATAAATTACACAATTTGTGATTGATACTAATGACGCAACGTTTCCACAGGCATGCTTACATCTCTCCAGAAGCAGTTCACCGATGTCAGATCAGGTTATGAGATGCTCCAACCAGTTAAATCTGCAGGAAACTCATGTCAGGTGTCACTGTTTGGATTCACCTGCTGAAGAACAAACCAGAAAATAACAGATTTCAGATTTTTGTGTGAATAAATGCAGTGAGAAAGAAGAAAAAAGCATAAAACAAGATCTGAGACTGTGGACAAGTTCTTTACTTCCAGTATTGACCATCTGAGAACACGTGTGAGGAACTACGAGGACATTTTCTTGTTCTGGCGGTTCTGGAAAAACAACATAAACATTCTGTTAAAGCTCGACTTATTGTGCAATTTTGCATGAGACAATATTTCTTGATGAACTGTAAAAATGTGTTTTGAAATCAGATGCAATGCATATGCAATGTTCAATATTCCAAATCCACACTCTCAGAAAAAAAGGTACAAAAGCTGTCACTGGGCTAGGATTTGGAACAGAGCTGAAGAGTTTAATACTGATATTTCATCAGGAAAATAATTAGTTCAGATTGAATGTTAATTTGTTTCTTCTGTGTCTACCGCAGTGTCAGTTTGAAGAGCCAATTCGATCCAAGGCATCAACAGAAGTTTAGCTGTGATAGAGGTGAATTACAAACAGTGATTCACTGCATGCTTAAGAGAGACTATATTAATGCAGATCCAAATGATAAAGCTGTATATACAAGTATGTCCAACTTTATCATACAGTTCACTTGCGTAGGTGATATACTGTATACAAGCCACTATATAGCAAATTTCATCTGCTTGATTGCTTTTGCTAAATGAAAAAGCTAAATGCAACTATAAGGCATGAAGATATTAAGACATTCTAAACTGCAACATCACGATTTTCTGTAAAGCTGCTTTGCAACAATGTGTATTGTGAAAAGCACTATACAAATACATTTTACTTGACAAGTACCAGCTCCCTTAATGGGATCATTAAATGTGTGCAAACATTAAATATATGCAATTGATAAATTACACAATTTGTGATTGATACTAATGACGCAACGTTTCCACAGGCATGCTTACATCTCTCCAGAAGCAGTTCACCGATGTCAGATCAGGTTATGAGATGCTCCAACCAGTTAAATCTGCAGGAAACTCATGTCAGGTGTCACTGTTTGGATTCACCTGCTGAAGAACAAACCAGAAAATAACAGATTTCAGATTTTTGTGTGAATAAATGCAGTGAGAAAGAAGAAAAAAGCATAAAACAAGATCTGAGACTGTGGACAAGTTCTTTACTTCCAGTATTGACCATCTGAGAACACGTGTGAGGAACTACGAGGACATTTTCTTGTTCTGGCGGTTCTGGAAAAACAACATAAACATTCTGTTAAAGCTCGACTTATTGTGCAATTTTGCATGAGACAATATTTCTTGATGAACTGTAAAAATGTGTTTTGAAATCAGATGCAATGCATATGCAATGTTCAATATTCCAAATCCACACTCTCAGAAAAAAAGGTACAAAAGCTGTCACTGGGCCGGTACCTTTTCAAAAGGCACACCTTTGTACCTAAAGAGTCCATATTGGTACCTTAAAAGTACAAAAGTGTACCTTTTGAAAAGGTACCGCCCCAGTGACAGCTTTTGTACCTTTTCTTCTGAGAGTGGATATAGACCAATAACCAAATATCTGTTCTGTGATCCTCAAACTTCCTTCTATAACACTGAAATGTTGTGCTTTGTAATTTAATAATTAAATCATAATTTATGCATTTAGCAGATGCTTTTATCCAAAGTGATTTACAGTGCATTCAGACTATACATTTTTTATCAGTATGTGTGTTCCCTGGGAATCAAACCCACAACCTTTTGCGCTGCTAACGCAATGCTCTACCACTGAGCCACAGGAATATTTAGCTCAAAAATCCCAGCATAGTTTATGGGGTTCAGTGAATTTTGAAAATATATACACACAATCGCTTGAAAATAAATTTTGATCATTAATTTGGACTGGGATTTTACACAGATACTTTTTTTCTGTGAAAGTATCTGACTGTTCGTTTTGTGTACTGTAATATACCGGATGTCAATACCTCAGTGGAGAGAGAAAGCTGTACTTTATTATTTAAAAGATTTATAATAAATAAAAGGTCATTATAATTTGCTTTGTTTTGTGTCTTTCTTTAGAAAGCTTTCTTTAGACAGTCAGACGAACAAATATGCATTAGCAGCCATAAAATTCTGTTATTTTAGTATTAATTATATCTACTATGATATTTATTATTTAGAACTTTTTTATATTTTCAGTTTTCATTTTAAAATTTGGTCTAATTTTTTGTAAATTTGCTATGTGCTTGTCATTTTTGCTTTAAAATACATTTATTTGTATTCAGCTTTTAGAAAAGTTAGTACTTCAACTTAAACTGTACTGCTGTTTTGTGTCTGGGTTTTAGATAGACAGGCATTCAGATGAACAAGCATTAACAGCTATGCAATCTAGCATTATTTGAGTATTATTTCTATACTATTATAGAATGTATTAATTTTTACATTTGCTTGTATTTTTAGATTTTCAGTTTTCATATACATTTTTAGTACATTTGTTACATGTTTGTCATTTTTATTAGTTATCTTATTAGATTTTATTAGTTATCTATCCATTCTTTTTATTTTATTTCAGTTTGGGATTTAACAATTTCAGTATGTCAACTAAAATGTATTTCAGTTAGTTGAATTTAAAGTATTTCATCTAATATTTATATTTTATCAGATTTAATTCAGTTTCTGAAAACCGTTTTAGTTGTCAATAACAACACTGTTACACTCAACATTACAGTTTACTTTAAACATAGTCTAGTAAATGAATAAATAAAGTTCTAGTACACATCCACTTATCCAAACAGCTTCTTACCTGATGAAATGAACTGTACTACACGTTTTGCGATGATCTAAATTACAAAGTATCTTCACTACAATGAATGTTCAACCCAATGCCAGAACGAATGTTCAATGCTCTTAAAACATTAAAGCACAACAATTTTATTCATACATAATTAATGGATTTTTTTCTTAAAAATTTTAGTTGGATGTTCGTCTAACATTTTTTAAACATACTACTAAACATACATATACTACTCGTTTCAAAATGTTCAGAGAACATTCAAAAGTAACATTCTTAAAATGTTCGTATAATGATAAAATGGAACGTGCCCGAATGTTTTTGGTAACATTCCCATTAACAAACATTAAAATTTAAAACTGGAGATTTGAATGTTCAGAAATAACGGAAACATTACCAAAAGGAAATATTTTGTTAGCTGGGGGGACAATAAGCACACAAACAACACATCACGAAACCCCTCGAGGGACAGTCCTGTCAGAGCTAAAACTGTCCAGTGAAAGTGACATTACAGTTGTAAGCAGACATGTACAGGGATGCATATATAAACAGGTCATAATTAATGTGCTTCTATAACCCCACAGAGACTGTTTGTCAGAAATAGACTCATGTAACATGACCTGCTGTAATGTGATTTAATGCCATTAGTCATGGAAGACAGGAACTGTCATAAATAAGAGCTGGGGTTCAAAGTCTACGTCCCCTGACACCACCGTACCATTAGGACGCAAAACACCCAAAATATCGCTCCATGCAGTGACCCCAACACCAGCTGAAGAAGTCACCCAACACGAGTCACTCGCCAAGCATTACCGCCGGAGACGATGGACAAAGGTAAAATCGCCTTCATGGCAGCTTCAAAAACAAGCACGTTTTTGTGGTGCATTTGCATATTTATTGGGAAAATGCATGAGAAATTATTTACGGGAAATGCAAACGCAAGGTCAATTCTTTGCATACATGCGTTTCAATGAAAAGCATTATAGAAATCTGATATCTGAAGCATGTGAAACAGTTTCTTCGCTTCACGCATCAATCAAAACAGATAATTGCACTGCAATACCTTAAAAATGTTTGTCTCAAGGTTAAAACACTGTTCAGTCCTCAATACTTTCCTTCTACAATAGCCGTCAGTATTGCTGATCTCTATCACTCGTGACAGTGATCTGTTTAAACTATCTACAGCTTCATAGGTCAGAGTGCTAAAGCGGTTTTGCATCCGTTTCTAGCTTTGCATGACATCCCTGTGCATTGAAAAGCATGCAAACCCATTCATTCTGATTCCTCTCATGTTGATCAAGAATTTATGGGTCATGTGCTAAAAGTAGAAATGCTTAAACAACAGCATGTTGTGCATGTGTTAACAAGTGCTTTGCTATTGAAATTTACAAAATCACTGGAAAAAAATCATGTTCTTCCACAGTATTTCTGTCTTGTTTTTCAGTACAAATATCTAAATATTCTTACATCAAGATACATCTACTTAAGAAGCAAAATGATTTGATATTAAGCTTAGTTTAATTAAATATATATATATATATATATATATATATTCTGACCCCACCAACAGATTTTTTCTTGTTTTAAGTGTAGTCTTTGAATAATTTTTCATAAAACAAGACTTGTCATTTTGCTTCTCAAGTAAATATATCTTGATTTAAGATTGTTCAGTTATTTGTACTGGAAAAAAAGACAAAAATACTGAGGAAGATCATACATTTTTACAGTGTAATTAGCACAATGCACAAATGACTGCATGTTTTTTTCTGTCTCTTCTCTTCACAGCGGTGGAGATTGAACGCATCGATCTGGCATGTGAGGTGAACCACACGAATCACCACACGCTGCTGAACGGTGTGGACAGACTGATCGTGAGGAGAGGATAGCCGTTCACCATCACTTTGCATCTGCAACCGGGAACTCACTTTCAAAACGGGGACAATATCAACTTCATCGCCCAAACAGGTTCCTCAATCACTTCCATCCTATGAAGACTTTACATAAAACATGCAACTACAAATATGAACCATTAGGTACCAAAGCAACCATACATCACGAGTAAAAGCAGCCAAAGTTGAGCAGATTTAACTTTTAAGCAAATAAGCACAGCAACAACCAATGGGAGTGCAGAAAGTGAAGCTAACATGATCCACTTGGATAGGGGAGTTGAGGGGTCAGAGGTTAGCTGGTTAGTTTCAATAGTTAGTCCCTAACGGTAGATGCTGTAAAATCAATGGAAAAGAAAAAAGAAAAATAGTTTTCCATTGATGGCCATTTAAGAACTAGCCATGTATTGACAATTTATTATTATATTAAAAAACGCAACATATACATTTAAAAAAAAAATTATATCATACCAGATTTGTCACCATATATACACACATATATAAAAAACACAAATATTTCATTTTATTTCAATTATAATAATTATATTTTAGAAGATGTAAGTGCCTTATAGTATGTATT